GGGTTACGATTTATTACCCCTGAGACTGGCACAGCCACACGCAACACCCACAAGCTGAATTGAGGGACATGCTTCCCTGGCCTGAAGGCCAATTGTGAGCCCCTCACTCCTCCCTCGGCAGAGAGAAGGGAGCCCATGCTGTGCCTGGACTGGTCTCTTCTCCCCCCGCCCCAATCAGGGGACAGCAGCTGCCTCAGCCCCGCCCCCGGTCCCGCTGTCACGTCTACGCTCTCCTGAGTCACCCGAGCTTTAATTTGGGCTAATCACCATGCCCGACTCAGGTAGGTGTGGTGGTGATAAATCACAATGAGGCCGCAGCTGTCAGTAAGAAGCAGGAGCGACTTGTCAGTCTCATCAGCTTTATTAGCCGCGAGTCCCGGGAAAGTCTCCAGCAGCTTCCCCCCTCTTCCTTGATGCCTCCCTTTCGCCTCTGCGAAGTTGCCAGCGAAGCTAAATTAGCAACTGGGAGGTAGGAGGCGGGAGGCTCGGAGTGCACCCCGTGTGCACAGCCGCAAAGGCTGCTGGGAGCGAGGCTGGAGGAGGCCGGCTTCTGCAAGTCAGTTTCAGGGCGTCTTCTGCCCTGGGCACGGGGAGGCCATCGGGGTTAGAGCCGTGGTTGATAATTTTGAGAATTCCAGAGCCGGAAGGGATGTGTGAAAGCCTTATGGAAACTGACCCTTGGCTTTGGGGCAGGACCCATGTGCTAACAAGCCCCGCCCAGACCAGAGCACACAACAGGGAAAAGTGCCCTCAGACTTGGGGGCTTTGCAGCTCCTGGTTCTAGACTTGGCTGAGAACCGGCCGCACACACACACGCACACACACACCGGGGTCTGAGACCTGTGCCCTCATGGCATCCCTTGTCTTTGCTGCTGTAGGAGCTGGCCCGCGGTCAGTCCTCATGACCAGAGCAGTCCTGATTAGAGTAGGAGAAAGAACAGTGTTTGGCCCAAGCCCCCCACTCCACAGCTGTCCATCTGCACTTCCTCTGAGCTCAGAGCTGTGTGATTGCCTGGGGGCTGGGCCCCTCAGCTCAATCTGACTTAACGTCCGTCCAAGCCACACCCCCATTTACAGCCTTTCCTTGGGCACACACACCATGAGCAACTGGTTTGCTCCCTGCAAACTTTTTCAAAATGTATTTACATAAGTGCACTCCCCCGCCATGCCAAAACAGACATGTTAGATGTCTGCATTGACTGAAGTGACATTATAGTCTACATATGTTACGACAGCTCACTTTTTTCTTACTCCAGCTGTCTTGACCACTTTTCCATGTCAGACCCTTTGCCTGTCCTTTTAACTGCTGTGTGGTATTCCACAGATGGGATGCACCATTGTCAATCTAGCCATTCCCTGATGAGGGTGTTAGGTTGTACCCACTTCTGGTTTTCAATTACCGGCAGCACTCCACTGCTTCCTTGGAAAGGCCCTTTGGGACACTGCCAGGGCCTTGGGGACAACCCTGAGAGCTAGAGCTGCAGTTCCCCCAACATGGAGCCACGTTGACACCGTCACCCGTCACCCAGCCCAAGTGGGTCTTCCTCCCCCTTCCAGCCCGTCAGCAGCTCCAGCCAGCGGACTCTCCTCCCCCTCCTCACCCGCCTCCTGCTGTCCATATCACCAATCACACGCTCCTTCAGGCCCACTCACCTCCTTCCTGGACCATCACCTCCATAGCTCCTCCCTGCCCAGGCCCCAGACTCAGGCATGGCCGCAGCTAATCCACCTGCCCCTCTGCTGGAGAAGTCCACCGAGAATGCAAACCTGGTGGGGTCGTCGGCCCCCGTAGCCCTAGGCTGGCTTCCCCACGCCGCACAGGAACACAAAAACGCCCCTCGGCAGCAAGCAAGACCTCTGGGGTCTGGGGCTGGCTTCCAGGCTAGAAACGTTCCAGTTCTTCTGCTGCAACTCTCCAGAGCCAAGGCACAGCCTGCACTTCCCCACCTACCCTCTCTGCTGTCCCTGGACTCCTGGCTTGGGCTCGTGCTGGCTTGCTGCTTGCAGCGTCCTGCCCTTTCTGCCTGCTCAGATGAAGGCCAGCTTGGCTGCTGCTCAGCCACACAGCATCTCTATGGCGGGATCCTCTGGAAGCACGCGCCGGCCCCTGCCCACGCTGTGGCTCCTACCTGTCTTCTGGTTGTTCATCTCCAGAAGCGTCAGGTCTCCCCGCACACTGGGAGCTGACAGAGCCAGCTTCAGCCACGGCTGTGCCTGCACAGCCAGGGACTGCTCTCCTCCTCTCCCGCTCTTAGCCCACGTCCTTTTGAGGGGTCTGACTCCCCTTTTCGCATCTCCAAGAGATTCCCATCACCATTAAGTCAGTGCATAGAATAAGCATCCAGCCCAGGAGTTTGGTCAAAACTATGGGGGGGGGGGGGAGGCGGCGCCGTGGTGTAGCGGGTAAAGCTTCCACCTACAACACTAGCATCCCGCATGGGCACCAGTTCGAGTCCCAGCTGCTCTTCTTCTGATCTAGCTCTCTGCTATGGCCTGGGAAAGCAGTAGAAGATAGCCCAAGTGCTTGGACCCCTGCACCTGCATGGGAGACCCAGAACAAGCTCCGGACTCCTGGCTTTGGATCGGCCCAGCTCAGGCTATTGTGGCTATTTGGGGAGTGAAGTAACAGGTGGAAGACCTCTCTCTCTGTCTCTCCATCTTTCTGTCTATAACTCAACCTCATAAATAAATAAATAAAACGGGCTGCATATTGCGAGGAGGCAATCCAGGTGTGAAGCCAAAACATCAGGGAGCATAAGGGAGTGTCTCAGAGGTGTGCTAGCAGTTAATTACTGGAAGCACCGTGATGTTGTCCTGGAGTTCCTGGCATTGTTAGCGTTTCACATTTTCTTATTCACTAGGATTTCTTCTTCTTTTTTTTTAAAGCTAGCACAACACCCACTGTCAATCCTAACCTCAAGTTCTTTGTCCTTACCAAGTATCCGCAGCCGCAGAACCTGGGGCCCACAGCCACACCGGGTTAGCTGCTGTGACTTGGGCACAGGGGCCACTGAAACCCAAGGTGGGGCTCACAGGGGGTGCCCTGGGCTGAGAGACCCAAGTCCTCGTTCACACAGACACACACAGATCCCGTTCCCTCATCCAACCCTGCAACTGCTCCCCGTCCTCACGGCCCTCGTGGCCCGGCTGCGAGTGAACGATTCCCTGTGTTTTCTGTGTGCATCAGCTCTCTATTGTCAAGACAGCAAGAGCCGCCCACACAAAGGCAAGCGGACGCCCACGAACCACAAGCAGCGCTGGGCGCCCAGGCCCTGATTTTAGCTCCTAATCACCAAGTCACTCTCTGCCACGTGGGATTTGCCAATCTTCCAGTTTGGATTTATGGGCAAACAAATCGTCACTAGGCTTCTGGGCGAGAGCGCCACGGAGGGAAGGGGGGATTTGGAGAGCCCAGCCTCAGGGCCACTGCTCCCCTCTGTGGCACCGTCATCCCTCCTCCCTCCCCGCCTGTTACCAGGCTGCCAAGGCCATGGTGACTGAGCCCTGGGGAGGCCTTGTCCTCTGCAGCTTCACATCTCTAAATTTTTCTCTTGCGGCACCTGTCAGGGCCCAGCGTGCCAACAGCGAGGAGGCCCGTGAGGAGTGTTAGTAATGCAGAGAACGTGAAGTCACCTGCGTCATGGCAATCAGATCAGCCTGCCCTTCCCCAGCCTGTTCTATTGAGTTGGATAACGAAGCGCAGGGAACCCCGTGAGAGACGGAAAAGGGTCTCAGCTTCCTGGAAGGTGCTTGGATGCTCCCACATGCTCTTCCTCCTCCTCCTCCTCTTCCTCCTCTTCTTCTCTCTCTCTCTCTCTCTCTCTTTTACAGATTTATTTATTTGAAAGGCAGAGTTACAGAATGAGAGAGAGAGAGAGAGGAATCTTCCATCGGCTGGTTCACTCCCCAGAAGGCCTCAATGGCTGGAGCTGGGCCAATCCAAAGCCAGGAGCTTCTTCCAGGTCTCCCACGTGGGTGCAGGGGCCCAAGGACTTGAGCCATCCTCCACTGCTTTCCCAGGCCATAGCAGAGAGCTGGGTTGGATGTGGAGCAGCTGTGACTCGAACCGCCCATATGGGATGCTGGCGCTGCAAGTGGCAGTTTTACCCGCTATGCCACAGTGCCAGTCCCTATAACTAGAGTCCTCACAGAGCAACTCTCACAGGTGGCCTGGCCAGCAGACTCACCACGACACTGTGTCATGGGTTGTTTTTACATTTGGATGCATTGCCCACACTTCATAAAAATATGAGTGCCCTCCTTTTCAAAAATGTAGGTTTAAGACTTTCTGGGGAAAATAAAGAAGACCTGGATCCGGGGTGCACTCTCCTCATAGCCGCAATAAGCTTGGGAAGAGAAGCAGCTCCCCAGGAAGATGGCACCCGTGCTTCACCGGTCACCACAGCCCCACCGCTGCCTCTTGTCAGCTGCCCGGCCTGGGAGGCAGGGGGATGTGTGAGGATGAACCGGTGCTGTTTAATGCCTTAGTATTAACTGCCCCTCCCATTCTTTCTGGATGTGACTGGCTCACACCACCATGGGCGTTTGCTGAGCCTCGCCTATGTCCTTGGTCCTTTGATGAGCTTGGAGGAATGGAATATGCTCCCTGCCTTTGGGGAACTGCGATTTGGTTTCATGGGTAGGGGACTGGCTAGAGGAGAACCCATGACACTGAAGGAGGCCTTCCCGCCTGCAGGGGAGATGGGACCAGTTCAAACGACACCCCTGCTAGTCCTTGCAGAACCACCTTACAGCCAGCTCTTATGTGGACCCAGAGTTCCTGGCCTGTCCTATCCGTGACAGCTTGGAGTCCTTAGCAAAACCTGGAGAGGTGGATGTGTTCAGATGCTCATGGATGCTAAGTGACTTGCTTTATGGATTATGGTATTTTAAAAATTTTATTTAAAAAAATTTTAATTTGCATATAGTATTTATGCACATCTGCAGGGCACAATATAATTTGCTACATATATACAAAACATGCAATGAATAAATCAGGCCATGTTTTTAATGCTCAGCACAAACATGATCACACACAATGTAAAAACTTGTCACCTGGGGCTGGTGTTGTGGCACAACGGGTTAATCCACTGCTTACGATGCCGGCATCCCAAATCCGGGTGCTGATTCAAGTGCTGGCAGCTCTGTCTCCAATCCAGCCCTCTTAATGCACCTAGGAAGATGCCCCAAGGACTTTGAACCCAGCGTTCTGTGTGGGAGACCTGGATGCAGTTCCTGGCTCCTGGCTTTGGTCTGGCCCAGACCTGGCTATTGCAGCCATTCAAGGAGTGAGCCAGCAGATCTCTGTCTCTCTCTCTGCCTTTCAAATAAATAAACCTTTGTTGAAAGAAAGAAAGAAAGAAAGAAAGAAAGAAAGAAAGAAAGAAAGAAAGAAAGAAAGAAAGGAAGGAAGAGAGAGAAAGAAAGAAAGAGAGAGAGAAAGAAAGAAAGAAAGAAAGAAAGAGAGAGAAAGAGAGAGAGAAAGAAAGAAAGAAAGAAAGAAAGAAAGAAAGAAAGAGAAAAAGAAAGAAAGAGAAAAAGAAAGAAAGAGAGAGAAAGAAAGAAAGAAAGAAAGGAGCCTTGCTATATTCCATTCTGAATCCTGGGAGTGCTGTCCCCATACAAGCTGGCCATGGCCATTGTCTTTGTGCCCAATCTGACAGGTATCAGAGCTGTATCTCAAGGACTGAATCAAGACTCTCTAGTTCTCTGCATGGCACTTGCCTCTTAACTGCCCACACTCTCCCACATCTGCTTATTTCACGGCCAGCACTGTGAAGGACAGTGGCCAGCCTCAGTCTTCTTGACTTCCTGTGGTCACCAAGCACCTGCCTTGGCCAGCCCTCCCTGGCCACTTACACATATGCAGGGACACCCACATTAGCCCATCTGCACCTTGCACTGACCTCAGCCTAACTGGGCAGGACCATTAGAAGTGGCAGCCTCCCAGGTCTGCTGAAATAAATCCTAACGAACTGTAGGGGAGGAGAGGCCCGGAGTCCACAGACCTCAAAACCCCTCTCCCTCCCAGGACAAGGCCCCGCGTGCTCTTTCCAGGCTCCAAGCCAAGGGTGGCAGGCCTGTCCAGCTCAGTGCCTGGGCCGCAGAGGCGCACGGGTGGTGGTGGTGATGGATGGCCCTGACAGGCTGCCAAGGACACTGGCACGTGCGATGCTGCTTTTGTAACGAGCTGCTGCCTGGTTAAAAGTAATAAATCTCCTCTGATTTCAGTGACAGGCTGTCGGGATTGTTTCCCTTGGCTTTGGCATAAAGAGGAAATGCAAAGCCAACCTCACCTGGAGTGGAAAGAACCCGTCAGATGCAAAGGCCGGTCAGGGCAAGCAGACAAGCCCCACGGGGGACCCCCCAGGTTTCTCAGCTGTGGGTGGTTCGGTTAAGCCGCAAATCGAGGCCCCCAGACACCATATCACACGCACTGTCCCTCCCTTGTTTGCATGTGTCTGCAAGCACCCCACCCCCACTTAGGGATCCCCTCTCACCAGCACCTGCCCATCGCCCAGGTGAACTGCCCCCACCAGTGCCCAGAACAACACATCTGTTTTCTCCCAATCCCTTACCCAATCTGATCGACCCTGTCCAAGGGACCGAGAGAGACCGCTGACATAGCGGGGTCTCTCCCCAGGTGTTGCTCACAGGTGCTGAGCCAGCCAGGTGGGCACAGACATTGAGAGATGTCTCCTGGACTTCTCTATCTCCAGTCCCAGACTCTCCTAGAAGGGAGGCTGATGAGACAAAAATTCCAATAGTGCAATGAACACAGTTAGAAATTTTCCTTCTGCTTCTGCCAAAGGCTGACAGTGCTGCTGACAGGGCGTGCGTGTTGGTGTCAGAAGCTGCTGGCCGGAGTTCTCCACGACAGTCCCTCTCGGGCTCTCTCTGTACCAAGTGCAGCCCTCCACGCCTTCATCACACGGCCTTGAGAAAGGGCATCACGGCTTCTTCAGCCTACTCTCAGCGGCTCCGAGGTCTCACGCTAGAGAAGGAGAAAGATGGAGGCCAACAGGGGAAGCAGGGAGGAGAGCAGAGAAGGGAAGAGATGGTGGGATTCCAGGAGCCACATGGGGTCTCCTCTGATCATGATGGCTGGGCGGGCAGGGCCCTGGGGTGGTGATGCCACTGGACAGGAGGGACGGCCCGTGCTCCTCATAAGCCGAACTCATTCACACTGACCTGGACTGACAGGTGCGCCCATTTGGCCTTTTGGCCTCTGGGGCCAGAGACACACAAGTCCCAGCCCCTCATAGAGGTCACACAGGGTTAATGTTAGGATACGGGGCAGGGGAACCATAGCTGGTCAGCCCCATTGCAGGAGCCAAGACAGACAGGGGCAGTGAAGAAGTAACTCGTGCACCGAGACCCACTACTGCCTGCCCCACCCCCATCCAAGGGGCTCTCTCCCATTGAGCTGATTCACTGCTGTCCCCCCAGCTCCCTCCAGGTCCACTGCTGCACTCCTGTCTCCCTTGGGTCTTACCCCCTCCCACCCCCACCGTCCTTTATGCTATCCTTTGTCTCAGACCCCACCTCTTTCTACCAACTTCGCAGTCTCTGTAGCCCAAGTTCAAAGGTGTCAGAAGACGGTGTGTGATAGGTTGGTGGGTTTCCGCGCAGCCGAGGTGGCCCGGCAGGGCTTCTACACCAAGCTTCTCTAGCTGGCTGGCTGAGTGGCCCCAATGCCAAGTCCAAGCAGCTGTGGCCAGGATGGCAGGGGCGTGTGTGGCTGGCTGCTCAGCTCCCTGGAAAGAAACCCTCAGATAGAGGTGAGGAGTGGGACCAGAGGTGTTTGCTGCTCCTTCTGTCACTGTCACAGAGACCTAGGGGTATCTTTCAGTGACACCAGGGACCAGATGGGCCACTGTGGAGGAGCAACAGTTGGCAACCACTGAACAGCCCAAGCAAGCTGGGCTCGGGCAGGATGTGAGCCCCACAGGTCCGGCGGGAGGGGTGGCTAGGCCCAGAGCCCCTGCTCAAGGCAGGCAGCTGATGGGGGTGGGGCTGCTGCTCAGGCCTGGGGTCCGAGCCCTGCTCCGTCTCTGGACTCTGTTTCCTTGCCTCTATAATGGGGTTATGACAGCAGTGACCACTTGGGTTCCAGAAAGACTGTGGGAAGTCCTATTCAGAGTCTGGCCCGCAACAGACCCTGGGCCAGATGGAGATGACTTTGACTTAAGACTTCAGATGTTGATGAATATGATGTTTGTAACCATGAGCCAGTTATTGGCAAAGGGCAAGTGGCAGCTTGAAAAACCATTGGGCTATGGTTGGCACTGTGGCATAGTAGGTAAAGCCGCAGCCTGCAATGCTGGCATCCCATATGGGCACAGGTTCTAGTCCTGGCTGCTCTACTTCAAATCCAGCTCTCTGCTATGGCCTGGGAAAGCAGTAGAAGATGGCCCAAGTCCTTGGACCCCTGCACCTGTGTGGGAGACCTGGAAGAAGCTCCTGGCTTAGCTCTGGTTGTTGTGGCCATCTGGGGAGTGAACCAGTGGATGGAAGACCTCTCTGTCTCTCTGCCTCTGCCTTTGTAACTCTTCCTTTCAAATAACTAATTAGTCTTCCAAAAAAAAAAAAAAAAAACAAGAAAGAAGAAATAAAAAGTCAATCCACGCAGAAAACGAAGCCCGCTTTGGCAGCCTAACCCTCCCTTGGTTTGCACCAACAACCCCTGCCCCTCCAAGGTCAGAGGCCCATGGAAGAGGTTAGACCAAGAGTCACACTGAGAGTTATTCAACTGTGCCTGCAGCTCTTGCGAAGTGGCAGCCCTGTATCCCCATGCTGATCACTCTTCCCCCCAGGGTTAGCAGAAGCCAAGCTGGCCAACCTCTGGGACATTCCGAGATGACATCGCGGCCTGGGGGAGGGGCAGCCTCAAGCAACAGAACAGGCAGAAATTGGTGGGCGTGCAGGGGTGCCTCCAACAGGGTTGGGAGTGCTCACTCCTCATTTGGTAGTTGCTGGCTATGGAGGGGAGGGTGGGATGATGGGGGAGGGGGCAGACAGAATACCAGAAGCAAAACTGGGAGCCCCCTGGTGGAAGTGTTTCTCAGAAGGCCTGTGGGCAGGAGTGGGCATTAGCACCATGGTTGAGCTACACTGGACGCCTGCACCCTGTATGGGAGTGCCTGGGTTCCAGTCCTGGTTCCTTTTCTGATCGCAGCTTCCTGCTACTGAGTACCCTGGGAGACAGCAGCTGATGGCTCGAGTAGTTGGGTCTCTGAGATCTGTGCGGGAGACCCAGGTTGTGTTCTTGGCTCCTGGCTTCAGCCTGGCCCAGCCTCGGGCTGTTGCCGGCTATGCTGCCAGCCTTTAAAATAACTGACAACTAATAAAAAGTGAAGCAGCAACATAAAACCAATCGGAACCAGAAAAACAGAGCCGTTTCTCTCATCTTGGCTTGGTTGCCAAACTCTACATCTAAGGAAATATTTCAGGACAGAGGGAGCCACGAGGAGCAATGTTTGTCCTGCTGTTGACGCTGTCTATGTTGGAGCTCAGCTCGGAGCCACCTGAACCAGGGGCTCCTCGGACAGCCGCTCTGTAAGGAAGAGTGAACGGGCTCGGGGCTGACCCTGGGCCAACCACAGCAATAAAATAGAGCAAGCTGCTGCAGAGCCTTCAGGACAAAAATACCTTGTAGCTGTTATTTGCATGAGCCTCTGCCCATCCACACTCCCCCCGCCCCCTGATCCGTTGAATCTGGAGCTACTGAGAATCGGTGTTTTCTCACCTTTGTAATATGAGAAACAAGTTAATTAAAATCAATCCCGACTCCAGTCTCAGAACGCCGCCGCCGCCGCTTTGGCTGCAGATCTGTCAACAGTGTGTTTTGATAGCCGTGGTGCACGAAGGTGGTAATTTGGAGACACTGATAATTGCATTAATTTAGGAGGCATTAGCTAAGCCCACGATTAATTACACACGCAGCAGACAGAGCTGTAGTCACTGGATAGCTGGAAGAGAAAGGTAGAAACGCCAGCTCCCTCCAGCCAGCTTCAAACGGCCAAATAACCAGAGCTGTTCTTGCTCAGGGATGCTTCAAACAGCGACCACTGGAAACACCGTGTGATCCTCAGTTAAGGGGATTTTACTGGACTCCAGTGCTTTGAAGGTTGATGGTTTGGGGAGGGTATTAGCTTTGCTGCATATCTCATGGAATCAGAATTTCCATTTAATTAGTTTAGAGCACATTTCCCATCCGTTAATCAGTCTGGCACACACAGATGGATGCATATGCACATTATGACTACGTCCCAAAATGAACATATTTTATAATTCCATTTCTCATTCACTTTGTAAGGTACTCTTGCTTACATGGGTGAATGGTTTTAAAAATAAGTGGGAAAACAGATATTGTCCAAAATACAGAAAGGGCCGAGGACTATGTGGAGAGGGGGAGGGGCGTTCCCATTCCTCCGTTAGGCCCCACCCACACACACCTGCGGAAACCTCACTCATTTCCTAAGGCCCAACTCAAGGGCCTGGTTTTTTCCAGCAGGATTTCAGAAGTGCCAGGTTGGGATTGCAGAGCTCCGGGCCAGGGTCTGCGGACTGTTTCAGACAAATCCGGCCCACAAATGAAGCGTGAGCCAAGGTTCACGGATGCTTCTGGCCGGGGGGCGGGTTTAGAAGGGCCCCGGACACAGGTGTCAGCCCAGTGCTGGAGATGAGAACCTGCACCTTGGGGAAGTAACCTAACCTCTGCAGCCCTCAGCACTGCCTGTCCCACAGCCCAGGCTCCTGTGTCCGGTGGGCAAAGAATGAGCTAGTTCTGCCCAGCCTCCAGGTCTCCTTCCTCTGTGGGGCCACGGGGACCCCCTGGGGACCACCAGATTTGAACTGGATGCCTCTGGGACCAGCTTGACCCCTAAGGAAACAATCTTCATTTTTATCACTCACGCACCATCTGACTGCATCGTTATTATAAAAATGCAAAGGGCCTTTTCCTCGTCCTCTGCTCCCTGTCTTTGCACCAACAGCAAACGGTTTGGTTTGCATCATCTTCTGACCATCTCTGTGCACGCTTATGTAAAGCAGAATTTTGTTCTGTTTTATGATCAGGTCCCTTAAGAAGCTTCCATATTAGTAATATATCCCCAGGAATTATGCCATGGTGCTACGTATAAACATAGCTCCAGGGGCAGGCATTTAGCCTAGGGGTTAGGGTACCGCTTAAGACGCCCACATCCCACATCAAAGTGCCTGGGTTTCATTCTGAGCTCTGGCTCCTGTCTCCAGCTTCCTGTTACTGCAGACTCTGGGAGGTAGCAGTGACAGCTCCAGTGATTAGGATCCTGACACGCACGTGGAAGACCAGATTGAGTTCTTGGCTCCTGGCTTCATCCCCAGCCCAGCTCTGACTGGTGCAAGCATTTCAGGAGTGAACCAGCAGATAGGAGCTCACGCTCTCTCTCTCTCCCCCTAACTTTGTCTCTATGCCCTTCAAATAAAATAAATATCAAATAAATAAATAAATAAGTTTAAAAACAGAAGGAATCGACCTTGCCGACACCTTGATCTAGGACTCCTGGTGTCCAGAAGTTAAACCTTTCACTTTGTGGATCTTCGTTATGGCAGCCCTGGTAAACTGATAACCACATATGCACATTGAAGCTTTTTAAGATTTGTTGATTTGCAGCACTCTGGCCTCAGAATCAGCCCTTAAGGCATGCGGATCTGGCTGAAAAGCCCATGAGAGTATTTAAGGCATGGAAAGCCAAGACACTCTGGCAAAAAAAAAAAAACAAAAAAACAAAAAAACAAAAAAAACCAACCCTAAATGAAAGATCTCCGCGAGTGAGATCCCAGTGGAAAGAACAGGTCATCAAAGAAGGAGGTACCTTTCTCTGAAGGGAGGAGAGAACTTCCACTCTGACTACGACCTTGTCTAAATATGATCAGAGTCGGTGAACTCAAAAGGCTTCCATAGCCTTGGCAACCCATGACAAGAGCCTAGGGTGATTACTGATGCCAAAAAAGAGTGTCAATTTGTTAAGTCAACAACAGGAGTCACTGTGCACTTACTCCTCATGTAGGATCTCTGTCCTTAATGTGCTGTACATTGTGATTTAATGCTATAACTAGTATTCAAACAGTATTTTTCACTTTATGTTTCTATGTGGGTGCAAACTGTTGAAATCTTTACTTAATATATGTTAAACTGATCTTCTGTATATAAAGAGAATTAAAAATGAATCTTGATGTGAATGGAAGGGGAGAGGGAACGGGAGAGGGGAGGATTGCGGGTGGGAGGGAAGTTATGGTGGGGGGGAAGCCATTGTAATCCATAAGCTGTACTTTGGAAATTTATATTCATTAAATAAAAGTTAAAAAAAGAGGTTCAAACAGCAAAATAAAGAAATGCTAAGCTTCAAAAAAAAAAAAAAAAAGATTTGTTGATTTGGGGCCAGTGCTGTGGCATAGTAGGCTAAGCCTCTGCCTGTGGCGCTGCTTGCCATCCTATATGGGCCCTGATTCGAGTCTCGGCTGTTCCTCTCTGATCCAGCTCTCTGGGCCCTTGCACCCACATGGGAGATCCAGAGAAAGCTCCTGGCTCCTGGCTCCTGGCTTCAGATTGGCTCAGCTCTTGCTGAAGCAGCCATCTGGGGAGTGAACCAGTGGATATAAGAGCGCGCGCGCTCTCTCTCTCTCTCTGCCTCTGCCTTTCAAATTAATAAATCAATTATAAAAATATTAAGGATGCTTTCATGGACACCAGGGACCAAGGTCCCAAGGCAGCTGTGTTGCTCTAACAGACTGTTCAATAAATGGCAGGATCAAGTGGAGGCCCAGCCACGCCCTAGCAAGTCAGCCAGGTGTCTGTGGCTGTGGTCCTGACACCAGTGAGGCCAGACAGATGATGGTGTGGGGTAGGAGGCCAAAGCGTGTGTCATCCTCATCAGGAAAGGACTGTGGGGTTCAGACGGGCCGGGTGCAGCCATTTGGAGAGTGAACCAGCGGATAGAAGACCTTCCTCTCTGTCTCCCCCTCTGTCTGTCTGTAACTCTGCCTCTCAAATAAATAAATAAATCTTAAGAAAAAAGAAAGTTGCTTATGACAACGATAATGATGCTCTTGCTCCCTGGCCCCTGAGCTTGAGGGCAGAGAGCCACAGGGGGTGGTATGGGTGCATATCTGTTGTGTTTTAAGAGACTAAACAAAACGGTGATCAGCTCCAGAGCGGCACAGAACGTGTGGGATGTAAAGCTGCCACGCGTGTGTTAAGTTCTGTGCTAAATTCCCACACCACAGTGCACAGACGGGGCTCCCTGGACCTGTGTTTACCCCACACCCCTTCAGGATGCCTGGGGCTGCAGAGAGATCAGAGGAGATTGATGTGGCTGGCAAGGTGTGGCCAGGGCAGGGATCTTCTGCCAGCCATTTGGAGGAGGAAGCACTGCACCAATCCAGGCTTTTTGGCTGCAGTCACCAAGACCAACCCAGATTGGCTCCAGCAATGCAAGGGGTGTGTGACCCCTACTGTTGGTTCCTGCCCCCCTCCACGTGCCAGCTCTGCTTCATTCTGCATCAGCTGTATTTGGGCAGAATCTTCTAGGATGGGAAAAACTCACCTACAAGTCTTGGTCTGCACTGTGTGTACTCTGAGTAGTCCCAGTGGAAATCACAGCTTCGATTCTCTAAAGAATCTGGTAACTCCCAGGGACAGCCTCTCTTTGAGTCTACTTGAACTGTGTGCCCAATTCTGAGTCCATCACTATGACCAAAGGTTGATTGATTAGGTCTGGAGCCCTCAGCACAGGGAAGGTCAGGTGGCGTGTCGGGGGACTCCCCCGTCACTTGCATGGGCTGAGCGTCATGGAGAGGACTGGGGTGTGAGGATGCCAATAATACCATTCCTTCTCTTCTCTGAGTTGAGAATAATCAAGAGTTAGACACAGAGTTGGGCAGATGGAGTGCAACATGCCACGGTTATTACCCGTAAAGTGGATTCGGAGAATGCTGCTTCGCTGCTCAACAGCGAGATGATGCTAACGTCTCGGCAGACAGCCTGTTACAGGCAGAACTGGACGAGTGCAGGCCTCCCCTTGGGACGCTGATCCTGTAAAATCGCAGCTTAGCAGACAAGGAGATGTGTATTCCCCGAGGGACGAGAGCAAGGCAGGCCGAGCAGGTGACTCCTGCAAAGCGTGGCGCAGACAAGCTGTGTCTGGGGAGGGATGAGGGACAAGGGCAAGGCCTGGAGGGGTGCCCTGGGGGAGGCCTCTGGCCTCAGAAGCAAGGAGAGTGCTCCTTAAGGGCCCCAGTCCCTGCTCGGTGACAGATGGACTCCTCAGCAGGAAGCCAGGGTGATGTCACAAAGGAAGTGCAACGGCCTCAGAACCAGGGGAAGTGGAAAAAGCCACTGCTATGATTTGGAAATGATTTGACTATGTCTCCCAAGGGTTTGTGTGCCAGAAGCTTGGTCCTGAGTGTGATGCTGTTGGGAGATGCTGGTACCTTTAAGACGTGGGGCTGTACGGGGCCAGCAGGTTAAGCCACCACTTGGAATCCTGGCGTCCCGTATCAGAGTGCCAGTTTGAGTCCCAGCTGCTCCACTTCTTATCTGGCTTCCTGCTAATGTACTGGGAAAACAGCTGAAGATGGCCCAAATGCTTGGGTCCCTGAATTCCATCTGCGAGACCTGGTTGGAGCTTCCGGGCCCTGGCTTTGGCTGGGCCCAGCCTCAGCTGCTGTAGCCATTTGAGCAGTGAACCAGCAGATGGAAGGTCTTTCACTCTCTGTCATTCTTTTCTCTCTCTCACTCTACCTTCCAAAATAAATACATAAATCTTAAAAAAAAATTTAAAGAGTCTAACAGGGCAGATGGAGTGGATCAGGTCACTGGGGCACTACCCTCACAGTGGACTGATGCTGCTCTCACAAGACCCCAGTCAGTTTCTTTCTTTCTTTTTTTTTTTTTGACAGGCAGAGTGGACAGTGAGAGAGAGACAGAGAGAAAGGTCTTCCTCTTTGCCGTTGGTTCACCCTCCAATGGCTGCCGCAGCTGGCGCACAGCGCTGATCCAAAGCCAGGAGCCAGGTGCTTCTCCTGGTCTTCCATGGGGTGCAGGGCCCAAGCACCTGGGCCATCCTCCACTGCACTCCCGGGCCACGGCAGAGAGCTGGCCTGGAAGAGGGGCAACCAGGACAGAATCCGGCACCCCGACCAGGACTAGAACCCGGTGTGCCGGCACCACTAGGTGGAGGATTAGCCTATTGAGCCGCAGTGCCGGCCCCCAGTCAGTTTCTACAAAGGTGGGGTTGTTGAAAAAAAAAAAAAAACAGCAGGACTGGCCCCACACCATGCCATGGCTTCCTGTCTCACTGTGTGATCCCCCCTGCCCTGCCCACATAGGCTCCCACCACAATGCCATCCACCACGAGGCCCTCACCAGAGGCTGAACCAAGGCAGTCGCCCCACCCTGGGCTTTCAGCGTCCAAAGTTGTGAGCGAAGTGAACCTCTTTTCTTTACACACCACCCTGTTTCAGCATCAGCATGGCAGTGGGAAAGTGACCCAGGCATCCACTACCAGCCTAAAGGTGAAATAGCTCCATCCATTCTCTTCGCCAAGGGTCCCAGGTCAACACCAGCAACACCAAGTGACATGTTTACAGGTGTAAGTGGAATAGCAGATGCTGCTCAGCCTTGGAGACTCTCAAGATTTCCGACCGCTGCTAAAGTCCTCTGTTGGGAAATAGCAAACAGCTGGAGACAGATAACGGAAACCACAGGTGACATCTCGTGGGGCCTGAAGAACTGGATCCCAGCCCAGGTCCTTGGGCAAGGACCCTGTTGGCCCGGCTGAGCTCACAGCAGTGTGGGGATCAGATAGAGAAAGACGGGAAGCCTTGCTAGTCCTGGTAGTGGCCAACACTGTCAGCGTGCGTCACGCACCAGACCCTGTTTTGAGATCTGCTCCAGTGTAGACGCCTCCAGTCTTTTAAACAACCCTGCAGAGAAGTTGCTCACAGCATAATCTCCATACTGAAATGGAGGCAGGGAGAGCTGGAGAAGCGTGCCCACGGCCCAGTCAACTGCACCCAGAGACAAGACCGCCGTCACGGAGGGCCTGGGAGAAGGGCGGTCAGGCAGAGGAGTGGGTGGCCTTGCTGGCTGTTTCCCCTCACCGAGGATGAGTCTTCCCTGAGGCCGGGGCTGGGGCTGTCTTTGTGTCTGGTCTAAGCTGGAGCAGCAGAAGGAATCAATTCTAGGCTCCCAGGCTGCACAGGCAGGATCCTCAGATGATGTGATGCCAGTGTTAGCACTTGGCATGGATACTTCGGAGCCCTCTGTGCACTGACCTGGGTGTCCCCCTCTCTGGAGGGCAGGCTGCACAGGGCTGCCAGGGCAAGGTGAGCTTGTTTGGCCTTTCAGAAGGTGAGTGCGTGAACATCCACTCAAGAAGGACCTGCTACAGAGGCCTCGCTGGCCTTCACTCTCCTTGGATTTTCTTCTAACCAAACAGATCCTTGGGTCTCCTTGGCAGATTTAATATTAGAGCTGGAACAATCTTTCTATTATTGCCTGTGCTTTCTAGAGAGAAGGAAAAGCATTCTTCACCAAGGCCTCCTAGCTCCCTAAAGACAGAGGGATATAGATATTCTCTCTGGCTAGGAGAGAAAGTGAGAAGAAATCATTTTTTAGCACCTGTCCAAATTGTGGTATACTGTATCAGACGATTTAACTCTGAATTTTAGCCTACGTTTGATTTTGCTCTAAGATTTACGGTGAAGCCGTAAAACGATGAGTCACAGTGTTTCCTTGGCTCAAATAAGGTTGGGAAATGGCTGCCACACACAGCTGCACCTTTCTGCCTGTGTCAGTGACAGACATGACTAATCAATAATGATGCTGTTTCCCATCCCCCCAGGCACGGCCTTTGAAGCTTCAAGGTAGCTCTCCTGGGCCACCTGAGCCGGCACATGAGATGAAAACCATTTGCTCTTCCTGCCAAAGAAGGAAGAGAACCTGGGAGAACAAAACAAAACAAAACAAAAACCAGAGGAGACAGACATAACATCAGGTGACTGGGAGAAAAAAAATACAGGGAGAGAGCAAGCCAAGAGCTTGGCTAAGTAGATGTTTCTGCGGGAAACGAGATAGAAAACCTGCGTGGAGAACTTAAGGGAGCTGCTGATAGGCTGTAACTCTGGTAACCAAAAGGAAAGTGTTAATGTGACACTTAACACACAGACTGGCACTCTCAGAGCAGAGGAGGAGCTGGGCAGAGAGAGCTGTTAAGAGGAGCAGAGACAGCCCCAGATATTTGCACGGTAAACAAAGCAGTGGCTTAACTCAGAGCTTACAACTGTTCGATGACTACAGAAACAGACACACACACACACACACACACACACCCTTTCTGATAATATCATCATGTGTCAGGCTCTGTGCTGAGTGGTATTTTTTTTTTCATGCATTATAATACAGGGACTATTACCATCCCATTTTACACATGCAGCAACAGAGACTGGTGCATGACAAGTTGTCAAGATCAAACAGCTAGAAGACAGCAGGATCACGGTTTGTCTCTGAGGAGTACCCCAGTGCCTCGCTAAACGAACACGTGCATCTCTGTAGTAGAGCCCTGCAAAGAATAGGCAAGCAGCTAGCCACAGTTTCCCCATTCTCGTGCATGCAATATTTGCTCATTTATTCTTTAGTGCATTTGCGCATGCAGCAAATCCTTGTCGTGTGCCGCTGTGTGCCAGACGCACAGGAGATGTCAGAACAGTTAAGGTCCCTGTGCTCACATAGCTTCTCCGCTCTTTTCCTGAAACTCAAGAATTATACAGCATGTGGGGTCACTTAGACCAAGCCCCTCACTTTATAGCTGGGGAGATGGAGCTGCCATGGTGGGGGGGGGTGGTTAGAAGGTGCTGGAGGCAGCCTCAGCTGGTCCCGCCCAACTCTGAACCCAATGGAGCCAGCACAGCCCGATGCAGGGCAGCCTCTGGCTTCAGCCAGGGTCGATGGGAACATAGCCCCTTCTGGGTTGGTGCTGGAGAATAAAATCTCTTTGGTGGTCAGAAAGATCTCTTGCTTCTGGATGGTTCTGACCCGTAGCCAAGATTGAGAACCATTGGTTTGGCGGAAGGTCCAACAAATGCACCAGTTGGAAGTGCAGAAGATAGCCCCCTGTGCCTGGGCTCTAACCTGGGGAGAGGGATGCATGGTTGTCACGGCCCCCTGGACTGTGGTGTTCCCCGGTGGGGATCAGGTAAGGGTGGGTGTCCTGGCAATTCGGCACCTCACCACGCCTTGGAGGAAGGCCTTGCAAAGAAGTCCATGCAAACTCCACAGGGCCCATCCCCAGGCAGCAGGCTGGAAGGGGTCCCAGTAAACTGACTTGCACAACCCAGTGGCAGAGCATCGAAGTTTATTCCAGAGCCAGTTCTGGGGCTGTGGTTCAAAAGCTCCAGGCAATTTTCAAGTTCATTATAAGTTCATCCTGGCTCCAAGGGTATTAGGGTCTTCTGCTGAAGATAGAAAGAAAAAAAAAAGAAAATTACCTTGGCTCGGTTCATAAATCTATAAAGAGATTTGGTTTGAATGCAATTTGGGCTTCTTCAGGAATGGATATTTGCAGCTCTTGGTTTCACAGGTTCAAGTCCCTGTGGACAGCATTAGTGGGTGAGATCAGTCCAACAGCCTCAGCTGGGTGGGAGGTTACAGCAGCTGGTTCCCTGCACACCTAGCATTCTGTGGAAGGTGAGCATGGTTCCCAGAGAGAGGAGAAGTAGCTCCCACTCCCAGAGGGATGCCCCTGTGTCTGAGCCACCCCCAAACCCCGCTGGATCCTGGGTGCCCAGAGGACAAATGAAATGTGTTTACAAACACGTCCTGGCCAAGGTCAACAGAGGCGGTTATAAAACAGCGGCCAGAACCTCAAAGGTGAACGCCTCGGGGAACAGCAGGCCCGAGGGGAACAGGGACAGGTGACAAGAGAGCTGGAGGCTGACCTGCTGCTCCATTGCCAAGCGAGCTTGCAGCCAGGTGACTTGACTCCTGCAGCCGGGGAGCAGGTCCCCTGGGGAGGCAAGGATGAGCCAGCACTCTCTCCTGGGCAGATAGGCTGGAAGTTAAATGGACAGCCTTGCCTCTCGGCACTAGGTTTTATGAAGTCTGGCTGCTAACTCCCTCCCCACATCCTTCCCATGGATCTGGGGGAGGAAGACATCTCGGGAAGGAAGAGGGCCGGGAAAACCAGCCCATGGGCTCGGAGCACTCCGGCCCTCATAGGGCTCTGTCCATGGTACAGTGGGGCTCCACAT